CCTGACCTGAATCGTGGCGATTAGCGAACACTATCGTTCCTATGGACCCCTGTCTATAAGTCGTGATGGACACATACCGCCATAGACGACAGGTGCGAACCGTTTCTGCTTGGTCGGTCATCAGGCAGGGGTCATCGCCAGCGATGAGACAATGGCCATCTGTGACGATGAATAGCCGCCGCCTGGTAATTGCCGCTTTCCATTGCACAACCGTGATTGCACATCGATTGCGACGACACAGCAGCGCCATCATGCGCGAGTAGTCCGGAACAGAGACGGCGTGTTCCGTTGGACGTGTTCATGGTACGATGACATGCAACGGGACATCATTTATATTGTCACTGATTGTTGCAAGGCTTTGTTGACCACTGTCCACGTCTATGCACGCTTGACCGGTAATGAATCGAGCAGATTGGTTCAAGCTGGAGTCACCGGGGTCGGGAGCAAATTTCAATCTGTCAGATGGCGGCCATAGTACCCAAAATTCCAGACGGGTTTTCAACGAAGCCGTGCCATGAACTCACGTCTAAGCATCTGATAATAAAGCCGAGAGTTTTCTATTTTACGCCCTTTAAGAAATATGGAACGCAAAATGGAGTTCTGAAAGACCGATGAGTAACGATGAGGAAGACTGTCCCCTCTCGAAAGAAACAGTCTTCAGCTTCTCATAGATTTCGATGCTACTGGTGGTAACAAGTAGCGAACAATCGCATGCACAGAACTGCTTGACTGAAGAATTAACAGAGGGGAGCAGCCGCCTAGCCGTAGAAGAAAGAGACCAGTTAAATCGTTGACAAACTTACTAACAGCATATCTCGCAACAAGAGGTAGGTCCGTAGTCGAAGCAGTTAATGCTAAAGTATTCCGAGCATTCACTTCACACGTGTCGGATATCTGTGATCAGAGCAAAACGTGTAAACCCAAACCGGAAGCAAAGTTTGTACATTAGGAACGTTGGTCTTTCTCACTTTCATGGTGGGGAAGGGGGGGGGGCTGATGTCCTTTTTTATGCCATCAGCAAGGAGTGTCTTACCTTGTAAAATCAGAGTCGACAGCAGCTGTCTTTCTGTTTTGCGCAGAGTGGTACTCACTCATCAGCCTCGAAATAAGAAAGGTGATTGACGACTCCGACGGAGGCTCGAATGTGGAACCTCTAGGTTCTGAGTCCGACGCTATAACGACTGAACAAACCGGGTCTGATGTAACGAGTGGCAAATTCTTTGCTCAAGGGAATGCGTGGTTAAGACATGGGTTGCTTGACTGCCGAGTTG